AAATGCAACGTGCCGGGTTGAGGAGGCATTGAAAGACAAGTGCTATTATTTCTAGTTATGGCACTTAGGTGTAAAGTTGTCCTAGTGTTCTATTCCCCATCTTTAGAGTAAAAGGATGGCTGAGGAGAGGATGATGGCAGAATGGCCATTCATTTTCTTTCACTTGTTCTTGACAAAGCCTGCTTAACTTCTGCTTCCAATTATTCTACTGATTCAAACATTCATATGTGTTTGCTAATCCTGTAAATAATGGTCTGCTTACTCTTGCTAAGAAGTTCAGAACTACATGCAGTACAAAATCTAGTTTCAGTTTGAGCTTGTTTTTTTACAGTAGGATATTACCGTATATTATCTGCTTTTACCCCTCTTCTTCCCCCCTTTATTCTGAGTTCTGTGATCTCCAGACTTGAATATCTGAAAGAATTGTTGTTTTAATTGAAATACATGTTCAGCTCTGAGGGTCAGTGCTGTAATGATACGATGTGAGAATTTTATGTGGATGTTTGTGTATTAAAATTACAAAGCTAAAAACTATTTTTCTTGCTTTTGGGATGGGACTTTGTATGCATATAACCTGCTCTGAAGTGAATTGTAGCAAAACACAAGCTTTGAAAGACAATTAAACAGTTCAATGTTGAGGGTTTGGGGGAATATTATGAAAACTTTTGGAATTGCAAATGTGGAGCCTAGCTGGGTAGTAATAATGGACTTGAGAAGTTCATGTGTTGAAAGTAAGTGGTGTTTTCATAGTCTGTGCAAATCGGATAATGTTCTTGTTTTAAGTGGACAGTAATGTAATCAGTGTTTCATAATGCTCAGTGCAGAGCTTAGTTAATATTTTTTTAATATTTTGTTTATAGAAACAGGATGCCTTCTAAGCTTCATCACATTTATTCTTATTGAGCATTTAAATTGTTGAGGGATAATTTAGCTTTGCTGGATTTTTAAAAAGAGAAACCTCTAGTACTGTACTTCACATGTTGGTTTTGCAATCAGTATGTATGCAGATAAAGTTACTTCTGTTCCACTTAGCACAATTTGAAATTATCAGCAAGTTAAGTCTGTTCAACTGCTTATCTACAGAGAGGCATGTAGTACTCCAATTAAGTTTGTGGATAAATGCAGATTTGTGTTTGCAGGCATCAAGATGACAGAAGCTTAATACTGTAAAAAGGCTAATCAACACTGAATATGTTTAGTGTCAGTAAATATTTATTGTGAAAACATTGCCTATGGTTTTGTGCCTTGGCATTCCAACTTCTGATTTTTAGTGAGTAAAAATGTGGTGTGATATCCTTTTCATAAACCTACTATAAAATTAGTTTTCTATAAAATGGATTTTATTATTGTGTTGCTGTTTTCTTGTGAGGTCAGCTTAGGAGTTAGGCTACATTTTGTAAGTTAGTGAAAAATCTGGTATACTTAGAGTTTTTAAGGCAGAGAATGAGGAAGGGAAGGAGGCAAGATAGAGACAGGTAGTATGGAGAGTAATTTCTTCTGATTCTAATTTATTTTTTTTTAATGAGGGCTTCTTCAAACAGGGGTTGCTAATAAGCTTTGGGGAACAGTGTGATTATTTAGTGTGTTCCTGTATTCATTAGGCAATAACTACAATTTAACTGGAAAATTAATGGAACCTCAGGATACATATTTTATATAAAGCATATGAATATATAGTTTTTAAAAATTTCATTAGATCTCCAGAAGTTAAATGCTGATGTGCTCTCTTTTAGAAGTGTTTTCTGGAAAATGGTGTGTAAAAATTGAAAACCAAGAGGTATATCTTAAACTGAGCTTCTACTGATGTAATGTTTTATGAAGAATACAACCAAGTGAAATGAAACAATAGAGGTACAAGGAACAGTGATTATTATTTTTTATTGTATTTTGACTTAAAGGGAAGAAGAATATAACTGTAACTGCAGTTCTGCTTCAGTCTTAATGTAAAAAAGATGGTGCTGAAGTGAAATTTTGTTTTCTGGGGGGAAATAAATTGATATAGTTAAGGATTTTGTTTGTTTGTTGAAAATGTCATGGCTTGTCACGCTAACAAATGTGATTTTGTTCCTGGCAGACTGTAGACCTGGTCAAGAAAAAGCAAAATTCCCTGAAAACCACTGCAACATAAATACAATATACTTCAGTTTAGTGTCTAACTTTGCATGAAATAAGCACTGCCTGTTAGCCTCTGTTTGATCCTGTGAGAGTGTGAGGCTAATGTCTGGCCAGTGTTTTGGAAGCAGCAGGTAGTCAGGAGCAAGCTGCTCTAGGGGTCCATATTTCTGTAGCCTAGCAGTTACTTACACACAGATGGAGACCTTATGAACTTTGACAGAGGTCACGCTAAATTGCAAATCTAAAACTTCTAGACTTCTGAAGGATTACACTGGTACTTTTTTTTTAAAAAAAAAACCCCCATATGATTTGGAACATCACTAAAGGTATCAACTTAGTCTTGAGAAGCAGATCAACCATGCAGTCATTGCTCACATAATGATCACAGGGACTGATAAAGATAGCCTTTCTTGATGCTTTAAAGGGAAACTTGTGTATTAAATTTTTAGTTTGCTTATGTAAAATATATGTCATATTGCTTCCCAAGCACCTAGGCTTGTCTGTTTAACTTATTAGAGGAATTTTGAAGTTTAAAACCTTTCAGAAGCCTCTGTTTTTTTTGGTGCACACGAGTTGGAAATAATTAAAAATACTCATAGTACTTTTTTGATTTTAGGTCTTTTTGGGCAGTCAGTTGAGAAAACAAGCTCTGTCATCTGTCATCAGCCATCGTCTCACCAGGGATCTTATAGCAGTTAAGGAAAGAAAAATGTGAGATGATCTGGTTACACATTGTAGCATGTTTAAATCCTGGATTCAAAGTTGGGCAGTGTTGAAAAGCTCTTGTCTTTGAATTATAGTCCTGAATCTGTGCTTAATTGATAAAGTCTCTCTGATATTTCAACTTACTATTCAAATTGGAAATTTTGGGGGGGAATTTTAGCAGCCAAAGCCAGACGTTCTTTGTTTCTGAGTTATAGTCATTTAGCATAAGATTTTTAATTTTTTTTGCTTAGTGGAGTTGCAATGTGAGTTTCATTTAGTGTTTATGAAATCAGGGTCTGTGAATGATTATTTATGTTGCAGGCAACAAAAGGAGGCTGATCTTTTAATCAAATGGATAAATTTTTATCATGTCATCATTGAACTAGTTCTGTAATGTGCTACTTAATGGCTCATGAACTAGTCTCTAAAGCTGTGACTTCAGGATTCAATGAGACTGACTCAGTGTGTTGAAAGTGGTTTCAGTGATGGCCACACATAGAGCTTGAAAATTCACACCAGCAGACTAGTAGGGGAAAAAAGCCTTGAAACTGTTTGAGCTGGTCTGCATATAAAATAACAAGAATGTTGTTCATGCTTCTAAATTGGAAAAACACAAGAAGTAGAAGGGCAAAAGAATTTCCTTCTGTAGCCACGGCACTTTGCATTTGCTGTGCTGTTGTTATCTTTGCTGTGGTGAGATCTTGATAAAGGAAAAAATTCCAAATAACTTAATTTACAGTTGAAATACTTGAGTTTACAATGAATTATTATTCAGTGTTATTTAAAATTAAAGGTTTTAGAAAAAAAGTGCAAATAACTTTGAGTCATGTCATCATTAATCATAATCATGTCATCACAATCATAATAACTTGTAAGTAAGCATATCTAAAGTTGAAGTTCAGAATTTTGTGGTTTACAAGAGATCTGAATGTGTAGATAGATTTTTACAAAATAAACTGTTTTGTGATGTGCTCTGCATTTTCTACTTCATGGTGTGCAGCTAAAGCCAAAGTTCATATGACCTGGCAAACACAGTGTGATTTGGGGTTACCTGTTCCTCTGACATTGAGAGGAAAGAATGTGAATTACTTTGTATTTCCTGAGGGATGAGAATGTGCACAGCTGAGGTTGGATAACCTCTTTCCCATAGCAGCTTCCTCATTTATCCGTACCTGGAATAGATCAACACCTGCAGCCACCCATGCAATGCTCCTGAACTGCATGTCTGTTTCAGCTTCCCTTAAGAAATATTAATGTATATGAGCCAGTGTTATTCTGTGTAATCATACTGGGATTGAACTCTCATGGCTCTTCAGATTTTCTGTTCAATCTCTTTCTAAAATTGAGAAGAAAGTGAGATAGAGATGGTGGTTTTCTTAGCTTAAACTTTTCTTATCTTAAACTTTCCCTTCGCGTGTGCTACCCGTGTGCTGCTCTCTGAAGAGAAAGTATCTTCTTTTTGAAAATTATTTGCAGTAAGGAGAAGGCAATTTAAATGATCTATGGATTTTTTTTTCAGTTTTTTTTTTTTTTGCACCACCTTTCCTCTCCAAACTCCTATAAAGACTTCCTTGTATTTAGTATTACAGGGAAATAACTTTTAATGACCATCATATTCAGGCTGAGAAGTGGAATGAAAAGAGATGAAGAAATTCAGAAAAAATAAAGCAATATAATATTCAAAGAAATGTTGTAAAATTATATGTTAAGTGGCAAAACTTTTTACGGTATTTCATTATTGTGACTGAGGTGTAGCATGGTGCATATCTTCCATACAGGAGTCATTGGAATCGAGTTAATATTTACTGTCATTAGCAATGAAATGGCTAGTCTGTCATTTCAAACAGATGGCTCTGGTCTTGCCTACATCTTCTAGGACTGAGCTAAAAGTCTCTTGGTTGTGCTTACTGTCCTTGATTTAACTAGGTGTTTGAATTAGGCTTCATGAGGTGAAAATTTGGATTGTTTACTTTGATTAAACTGAGTGTTTAAGAGGGGTGTCTTGAGGCAGGAGTGAAACAAAACTGATAAATCTACATTAATTACATCAGTACTGTGGTATCAAAGTTGTGAACAAGTATTTATTCCAGAATAAGAGTTCATATTTTTATAAATTGTTTCCTAATGTAACTCGTGATAATTGTTATCTGATTTTGTATTGATTTGCTTTTTGTTTTCAGGTGTGGCTCACAATATTTCTTTACTGCGAGAAGTGATCATCCATCCACGCTTTGTTCAAGGAGACATCAGCACTAAATTCCTTCCTGAAGTCTATCCTGATGGTTTTAAAGGTTTGTTCTATTTGGAAATGTTTCTTTTTTTCTTGAGCAGTGTTGTTTCTGAGTATTACTCCATTATATTTTTAGGCTGATAATGTTCCCAAATCAGTCATTACTTTTTCCTCAAATGTATCTATGCATACACATAATTAGAGTTTTTAAATAATGCATAACATAGGTGAAATAGTTAATGTCTTTATTTTCAAGAAGGCAGAATACATACTCCTAGTAAGTGAAATACACCCATAGTCAAGAAAAACAATTTTATGTGATGAGAAATATGTAAAATAAACATAAATTCAATTCTACCATGCTATTGTGCTTCGTTACAGACAGTGCTTCTACTGTTAACTATAGTCAGGTAAAGTTTCTTTTTACTCAGCACTGTTGCTACTTCATTGAGTTTGTGCAGCATCTTCAGAATTGCCTTTTGGCACCTGTTGTTTTACTGTAGCATTGTCTGGAGGATCTGGCATTTTATCAGACTGTTTCAGTAATCTGGTCTTATTACTCATTACACCCAGTAATGGGCATCACCTTGAAATTATTAACTTGTACACTAGTTAACATAAACACAGATGCAAATGTTTCTTTACAACATCCTAAACTACTCAGTTTCAAAAATGTTTAACAACTGTTGGTATAAAAATAAGTAAAGAAATAGACTGGCTTTCTTTCACAAGGATCAAATTTTAAAAGGTTGTCTTCTTTCTTAGCCACTCTGCTCTAGATGCTTTCTTGACCTATGTGGTCAGAGACTCAGTCCTTCCATACAGATCTCTCACCTCTGCTGGCATTCATCAGGCAGAGTATCTTCCTTATTTAAAAAAAAAAAAGAAGACAGTGTTTATAGTTCATCATTCATGGGTCCTTTATGAATCCCATGGAGATTCTTTTTCGCCTATTCATCATTAATCCAATGTGGCAGAACCCTCATCCGACTTTGGAGACAGCACTGCCAGATTGGCAGTCACTGGACATGACTGGCACCTTGCCAAATTCTAGTCTCATTAAGAAGCAGAACAGATTTTTCTTACCTCAGGACTATGAGTTCGTGGATGACTAATCTTTGCACCAGAACTACTTTATATCATGATGTAATTGGCAACTCCGTGTGTAATACAGTCCTACACGTGGGATTAATGTGTCCAGCTTGTTATTGGCTCCTAAGACCACAGCAACAGGCCTTAGTCACCTTGAGTGGCAGTAAGCTTGTGATGGTTCAAGCTGAAAAGTTCTTTGTTATCTTTGCTAAGGTGTACTTAACTAATCTTGGGGTAGCTCAGCTGGCTTCCATCCAGCATAGACTTAAGGGTACTCTGATCACCTGCTCTGAAGGCACAGTGCTGCTGTAGCTAGTCTCTCTCCCTTCTCTGACACGTCAGTACAGAATCTCATGTTCTGGGACTCTTCAGTCCTTTTCCTGAGCAGATTCAGTTCTTTAAACCACCATAAAAACTGCATCATTTTTTTACTGTTGCTGCTTTTGTTGGGGTAGTTTTTTGTGACTTACTGGGTTGATTTATCTCGTGAAGGAATCTGGTGAACTTCAGTGGATGTGCAAAGTCAGTGGCAAGCTAGGAATGGGGAGAGGGGAATAGAGGACAAAGGCAAGGATGCAGGTGTCGGATAGGTCCATACCGTGTTATGAGGGGGCAGCCTCACCTGACACTCAACTAGGAACAATAAAAACATAAATCAAACAGTAGTATTGTATTAACAGATTCTTAAAGATAAGCTTTTGCTCTATACACCAGAAGACACAAGAAAAGATATTATGACAGTTAAGAATAGAAACTTATGGATGGCACGTGTGAAATGAGTAGACTTTGTTCCTGCTGTTTGAAAAGTCTTGCTCATCTCCTTCCATGTATCAAACATGAGCATACATTAGCCTTCTTAGTGATAAAAAAATGCATGCATTGCATTGTATTTCAAATCAGGAGTACTTAGTCATGAATACTGGTTCAAAGCTCTCCAAAGTAATTGATAGCCCTTTTAATGATGTAGTTTGCACTGGAGACTTCTGGCTTAAAAAAAAAATTGGTCAGTTGAATTCGAGGATATTTTTTCAAGTACCCACTAAAAAATCTTTCTACAAATCCACAGACTCAAATGGGAGCTGCTGAAGGCAAGCAAGGGTGCAGATGATGGGTAGAAGCTCAGCAACAGAAGCAAAGGCAAAAATTAACTTACGTTTAAGTTCTCTAGTCACTTCAACTAAGTTTATAAGTACCCAGGGTAAACTTTGGTAGAAGGACTTGAAAATTTAAATAGCTTCATATAATCTTAATATTGTTTATAAAAGATGATAGATGTAGAAAAAGATCTGGAATAATAATCTGAAAAATTAGAGCAATGCATAGCCAGTGTAGATCTGGAAATACTTAGAAATATGTGCTGTTGTTAACAGTAGGAATTTATACCAGAAGTGTTTTAAATTTGGTAAACTTAAGAAATAAAACAATTTCAGTAGAGATATGTGCGATATTAATAGCACAATTGGTGTGTTTCTTTTGTAAACTGTACAACTGCCACTGTTGGTCTACTTTGATAGGTAATGAATGTCAGCTGTGTTCTCTCTGGTGACTGCATGAAGTACTGGCCCATTTCTTATGTGCATTTTTCTTCAAATACAAATACTAACTTTAGTCTTAAGAGAAAAACAATAAATGCTTTGTTTTCCAGTCTCATTTTCAAGGGTTCCATTATAAATCCTTTATTAGAAGACTTTTACTGTAAGATAAGAAAAATTGAATTATTAGAAGTGTCTTGGCTGCTTTTCCATTAACCTGCGATGCTCACTTCAAATTACATCTGGAATGGGAATGTTTAGTAATTTTCATGATTAGAGTTTAACTCTTTCTTCCCTTCCTTAAGTAAACAGTCATTAACAAACCCAGTTTTTTTTATTCTAAATTATTTTAAAATAATAGCCATGTGGAAACAAACCTTGTGCAAAGTATGATTAGTGTGGGAAAGCAGCTGCTTTTGCTGTCTGTGTGAGGGTGGATGGGCAGAGGGCCGGCTGGCAGTAGGTTAACTGTAGTGGGTTATTGCTCTGAGCACACATGCTTGTTTTGGGAGGAGTGCAGATCTCAGGGTGAGTGCAGCAACACTGATTAGGTCAGGTGACACAAATACATCTGTCTTAGAGGGGCTTCCAAGCACTTTGCTTATGGAAAAAAATGTTTGCCAACCATGCAGGAGTCGGACGCGCTGTCCGACAGCTTCCAAAACAACCTGGGAAGACTGTACTTCCTAACCTTCCTGGTGAGAAAGGAACTACGCTATCTATTATCCCTATTTTTTGGGCGCAGAAAGTATCTCTGTTTTCACAAAGATCCAAGAGGTGTCTTTGGCAAAGAACAAATTAAACTCAAGGATCCTTAGTTTAGTACCCCCGTTCATCAGATTATTCTTTGTGGTTCAGTCTGTTTCACAGTTAATATTTTCCTGGATATCTTTTTTAATATTGAGATTTTTTTTTTATGTTCCACTCTTTCTGGTTATTAAATGATATTTCAAATATGCGATCAGTCTCTTTGGGAGATGCATCATGTGCAAATGAAAAATGAGGCGTTTTCCAAGAGACTATCACAAAAGTTACAGCAAAGTAAGTTAAAAAAAAAAAAAGTTGTTTACTTCCCCTCTTCTAGCATGTTTGCTTCACTTGAGTGGAGAGGAAGAACAGAAATTCTGATGGACAGTCCTTTAGGTTAATCCTTTATATTTCCTATACTGAAAGGAATAAAGAGGAAGCACCTCTCTCCTGAAATGGTGTATTGGCTCCAGAGACTGTGTTGTATGGGGTGAAGACGTTTAGATACATTGTGTTTGTCATAATTATAAGGATCGGAGGAAACTATTACTTTGCTTAACTCAGCACTTACTAAACCACCTCTGGAGTACTCTGTCCAGTTTTAACCCCCTCATGCTTGTAAGAAAGATAACAATAAAAACCAAAAAAGAGTAAGTCTAGTGAAGAGCCACGAGGGTGGTGCTGGGGCTGGAACAGACAATAATCTGTAAGGAACATCTGGGACAATCGGTCTTGTTTTGCCTGGAAACAAGAAAGCTTAGGGTGGACCTAATGACAGGACCTCAGAGGAGATTCCTAGGAATATAAAGCTACACTCTTCAGTGTGTAGCACAGCAAGAGTCAGTGGTCCTAAATTGGAGATTTTCAAGACATGACTGCACAAACGTCTGAGCAACCTGTTCTGAATTTGCTGTTGAGATTGCTTGGTGGGAAGGGGGACACACGGTGAATAAACTAAAGGCCTCCCAAGATCCCTTCAACGTCAGTCATTCCATGATTCTCTTATGAGCAAAAGCGCTATTTAGATGAATTGGGACTGCAAATATGACTTCTAAATTTAAGTCTTTTGCTATTATTTGGAGGGGGTGAAATGCAGCTTCTCCTGTCTTGTGTTTCTGTTAGAAGAGGGAGGATGGTTGCTCTTGATTCTATGCATTTTCTCTTCACTAGAATCTAATCTTCGTCTTCATTTTATGAAGCTACTGGGTTGTAAAAAAGTTGACTTACCAGTTTATTTGATTTCTTTCTGGTAGGTGAGGCCAAAAAAACATTTCTTGGTGTGTCACTAATTCCTTTATAATTCAAAATAGTAGAGGTTTTGTTTCTGTATACTGTAGCATCCATCTTAGAAGTGATCATGAGTTCTCTGAGACATACTTCTTCACTATTCTCAATGGTTTGAGATTACTTACACAGACAGTATTGTCTGTCTTTTACTGTGACCATCTGGGTGGAACAGAGCTCTGCTCAACTTCACAAGAAATTAAACCCTTAATAATATTCAACTTTTTCTGCCTCAGCCTACCCCTGGTATACATGCCATCTGTAATGGTCAACTTCAAAATCCATTGGGGAAAAAACTTGAGCCAAAACAGAACCTAGGAATGATACTAAACATTGCCAGCATTGGTATGGATCTGAATTATGCATTACACTTTCCATCTTACCCATTTTGCTTTTAATTTTTAGTCTTCCCAATCAGAAAACAGTCACTGTTCAAGTATTAAGTAACAGACTGGGACACATAACCAGGGATTGTTTGTTTTGTTTTGTTTTTTCCCTGTAATTGATAGTAGGAAACACATTTCTAGGACAAAATGCAAATGAGACTGTTATGGGAAAAATGACCTTTTATGTAATTTAATTTGAAGTTGGTTATGTAAAGTAATTGCATGAACCTTTTTGACTCAGCTTGGGGGATACTGGGATAATATTGATTTAAGCAATCATAACATCAGGGAAATGAGAGAGAAATACGTTTTTTTCTTGTCTTCCTTCTGACCAGGGTTCTCCTATTTAGTCCTAATAGATGTGTGCAGTCTAGTTTTAAATAATATGAACAACAGTGCTTCCACTCCTTCAGCTGTGACTTCATTTTGTAACCATTTTGCATTTACCTTATATAATTCAGCTCACTGGTGATAGTGATAATGCAGAAGTATATCCTAGGTTAAGCAGAGAGATTTGGGAGCTATCAGTTCCACGTTGTATCGTGGAGATGAAATCTCTGTGTAGCCCAGGAGTCTGCAGTGATGAGTAGGAGAGCGTGATGGCAGAACTTCCCATACTGGAAGCTGGGGAATGTTTACTACTTACTTATTTCATTCCCTACCCAGGGGGCACTTGGACAACTGCTCTGAAGGTAGCTTTGTTACTTTTCAGATCCATCGGCATGGTCAACATGAAAGGCTGTTTTGTTATATCTTTACTGGTGGTGAATATTAACTTTATACCTCAAGACATCCTGAGGTGTGGCTTCTAAAGTAAAATAGTACTTGAAGGGAAACAAAGGTATTACTATCTGGGACATCTGTGTAGTTCTGAATATAGTAATGTAATTGAAAGTTTGACTCTAAAATTGTTTAGAATTCTGCTGAGCATAGCAGCAGAGCAAGAGCAGGCAGCAAGGGAAATGGGAATGGAGTTTGGAGAGCTAAGGTGAGGTACTGACAGCAGTCTGTCTTTTTTAATAAAGGTAAATTGCCATCTTTAGGAAGCAGCCTTTAATCAAACTTCTGATGTATGCCTCTAAAGTTATGCTAAGGACATTCTGTGGTAGGGTTGTATCTTTATTGCCAAAGACCAAAACCTAATTTTGATGCGTTCCTATTAAAAGTTTATATTATCTCTCCGGAATTCCACATTGGATACTACAGTCATGACTGGTTTTCCACTTGCCACATCTATGCCACAACTGATGTAAATAGTGACAAATGGAGAAAGTGGATGAATATTTTTTCATGTTTGTAATAATGAAGAAATGAATGTAACTCTTGATCAGTTATTAACCTGTTTCAACTGACTGACCTTTGTTCACTGTTTGGAGTTTGATTTTTGTTGAACATATTAGGAGAAAATAGTTTTTGCGGCACAGCAAGCGCAAAAGCAGTCACTGATTTTCATCAAAGACGAAGGTCATGCAATAAAACCTTTGAATTGGAATCTTTCTAGTTTTACCTTTTTCCTCTGTATGAGTTGATACTAACAGTGTGTGTTGGAGCAGGTGGGAACATGCAGTTTTAGTCACATGGTCTTGTCATGAGTGATAGGCAGGGGGACTGAAAAGCAAAGGCTTTAGGACAGATTCCTGATGTGTCTTTAGCTGAGACATGTAAACAAATCATCAATTTTAGATTCAGTGTTTGGAAAAAGTGATCTCAGATCTTATTCACTATGTGTAAATAATTGGAAAATTGACACATTTCAGATCCAGATAGTTGATGTTGTTGCATTGTATAATTATATAAGGCTTATATATATATACATGTGTGTGTATATGTATATATACAAATAGTACAAAAGTTCAATGTTGTTTGAGTTTTGCTGTGCAATCAGTTTTTCTAATAACTGGCAAAGGAAAGATCCAGTTTGTTTCTCAAGCCAGTTTCCCAACCTTTCAGCATTTGTATTTCTGCATGCGTTTGTTGAAGTGAAGACAGTTTCCATTTTAAGGCAAATAAAAAAATAATAAACACTGAGCAAAGGAAGCTGTAGTAATATTTAGCCAGAATATGTTAATGTGGACTGAATTAAAAAGGGACTGATGCGGATTTGCTGGCTTTTGTTATTTTTAAATTTATATTTTTTGACCTATGATAACTCCTTTGTACTGTTAGCTGGACTGTAAATGAGTGCATTCCCATCACTGTGACATGATTGCATTGCTGAGGTGCTAAAGTAGGTTCTTTACCTGTCCTTATTTAATATGCCTAGTGAAATGATGGGTTCTGTGCAGAAGACATCCTGCTTTGTAATTGTGGATTTGTTACTAAAAGGTCTATTCCAGTCCTTTTCAGCAGCCTCCATTTTGGATTTTCTTGAAAATTGTATTAGTCTTATTTTATGCTACTCATATAAATTGTCACTTGTTAGTAACCAGTACTGGGGAACGTGAATTTACATTACATGCCATAATGCTGAGGTGATGGGAGAGTGGAGATGTAGATTGGATCCGTGTAACTATTTATCTGCTGCTGGACTGGAAGCAAATGTTTCCCCCTGGGCAGAGTTCCTCTGGGGCATACAGCCTTCTGAAGCTCTTCTCTCATCACTTCATGTTGAAATCTGTACTTGCTGTGGATGATGACATTCGCTGTGATATGTACACATAAAGCACTTTTTGAAAGCTGTGTTATAACTATTGAGCTAAGTCTTTCGGTCTCAGCCTTGATCTTTTGTGAACTTTATTGTGTAATTCCCCACTCTGACTTTGAAACACTCTTGCTTTCACCTGTACAAAATATCTCTCCAAGAATATAAGGTTTGCCTCTTTTTTTCATGACAACTCCGCTTTGCACTTTTTGTCCTGTTTTATGTCAGTTTTAGCTTCTTGCCGCTGCCTTCTGAACTGAGTACTTTGTTTGTCCTTTTGCTCTCTTTCATAGAATCATAGAATGACTTGGATTTGAAGGTACCTTAGAGATCACCTGGTTCCAACTTCCCTGTCACGGGCAGGGACACCCTTCACTAGACCAGGCTGCTAAGAGCTCCATCCAGTCTGGCCTTGAACACTGTCAGGGATGGGCAGCCGTCTCTCTGGGCAACCTGTTTCAATGCTTTACAACACTCACAGTAAAGAATTTTTTCCTGATGTCTAATCTAAACCTACCCTGTTTCAGTTTGAAGCCATTCCCCTTGTCCTGTCACTACATGCTCTTGTAAATAGTCTCTCTCCATCTTTCTGGTGGGTGCCTTTCAGGTACTGGAGGGCCGCAATTAGGTCACCCTGAAACTTTCTGTTTTCCAGGCTGAACAATCCCAATTCTCTCAACCTTTCCTTATAGGAGAGGTGCTTCATCCCTCTAATCATCTTGGTGGTGCTCGTCTGGACTCTCACATTACTCTTGGCCTCCTATTTGCCACCTTTTCATACCAAATGTGTGTTGTGTCATTTCTAACCTAAAGATGGGGAGGACAAAGTTCTATCACTGTGCTCTTTTAGCTGTTGAATGGCAGTTGAAGCTCTAATTAACCTTCACTTTCTGGAACAAGACCAGGCTGGGAGGAAACCTGCTTCCAATCACCCTGGTTGCACCTTTTTGCACAAAGATTTGTTAGGTTGCCTGCTTTCAGATTTTAGGCTACTTTGAGCCACTTCCTGCTTATGAAGTGTCAAAGGTGACTTTGACTCTATAGTTACACAAATGACATTAAATGACCCAGGGCTGACAAGTAGCATTATCCACATTTGTTTTTTGGGTTTATACTGTTGTGTTATCCCTTTTGCTTGGAAGATCTGTAGCTTTTGCCAGATAAAGTACTGAGGAAGAATGCTGTATATTTTGAGTTCTAATGTACAAATGGATTCTTTACCAGCATGAGGCACAACATGTGAACTAGTGGCATTTCATTAACGGAAACAAGATGCTTGCAGCATCGTTCAGTTTCTTTTCTTTCAGGTTTCAAATTGTTTTTAACAGATATACCAGTATTAGCAACTGGACTGATCTTTATGAAAGCATGCAGTTTAAACTCTGAAACTCAGAGGGTCTGCTATGCTAAGCCTCATCTTAATTGAGAGGGAAAAAAATGTAGCTTTCACATATAAGGACTGAGCAGTGTTTTTACTGGTAGTTGTTACTTTCTGGGTCTGTGTTGGTCTGTGATATCTAATTTTTTTTTAACTACTTTCCAAAAACTAGGACACAAGTTGACAGATCTTGAAAGAAGAGAACTACTGGCAACAGCAGCGTCTTTGTATGTGGCTGAACAACTGAGATCACAGCGATTTCTGGGAACTCTAAGGTAAGTTCATTTCTAGGAACTCAGATGCGCTGATGCATTTTGTTAATGACAACTCTGCTTTGCACTTTTTGTCCTGTTTTATGTCAGTTTTAGCTTCTTGCCAGTTACTCATGCACAAGAGTAACTGGTGAGAAACTACATGACTTCTTAATATAGTCTGTTTTTTCTAAATTCAAATGAACTGTGGCTTACATTTCCCTACTCACACGAGTCATAAATGATTATTTTTATTCTATGTATTAGCAAACTAATAGACACAAAAATGTGTTACAAGCCAGTACAGTAATTAATGCACATCAGGAGTTTCATTAATGCAAAATGTTGCTGCATTAGTAACTAACCACAAATTGAACATCACAAATTTCCCATGTGCCCATTTGAAGCAATCTAAGCACTTTGGGGTAATATGAATATTCAGCTACAGAGCTTTAAAATATTGTGGACTTTTAAGTAATTTGCTACCTTGGTGAAGGAACTTATTAGTTTAGAGTCTAATTCAGAAAACACTTCGACTGGTAAATGCTGGAAGAGTTAACACCTTGCTTTAAGTATGGTTTTTTTGGTGCTTTTATTCCCCTACTACCTCATTTTCTTGAATAGTAGCTCCTAGTAACCTAGGCAGTACTGGACAGCCATTGCAGTAGCCCATGTCAAAATACTGATTCACTTCTTTAGCTTTTTGGAATGGTATGCTTTTGTCCTCTACGGTGTTTGTAGCTTTTATTGTCCTCAGGCCCATCATTGTCAATGCCTTGAGACCTTCTATTAGAATAACTGAATTTGTGAAGCTTGCTTGGGTCGTTGGTGTTAGCAGTGGTTGCATACAGTGAATCTTAACTTCCGCATAACTCTTTCTCCTCACCTCACATTTTGTAATATAGTTACATTTATGTTTGTCTGAGAGGGAAGTCAGAATGCAGGATAGACATTATTCACATTCCATGCCAGTGGTTTGACAGTGTATTCTATTACTGATTTTACAGTGGTCAGGAATAAATCAAATGTGGTTTCAAGAAGTCTTTATTTTTTTTTGTACCCACGAAGATAATTAGTACCATATGGTATTAACAAAAAAAAAAAAAGAAAGAGGCACTTAGGGAAAGCATAATGGCATTGTAATATATAGCATATGTAGAGCTGGGTCATTGCTTGCCTTATGCATCTATAGGGGAAGGTAAAGCATCCTTTTATTTCCTTCCACAAGTTATATCCTCTCTAACGAATGGCACAGGGAGAAGAACAGACACTCAGAAGCCACTGTTACCTAAATAAAGACAAATCAGGGAAAATGAGGAGGAGCCTTGATTGTAGTTTTTACTGGCCAGCATAAGAAAGTGAAATACTCTGGTACTGCTACACAGAAGTAGTGGATTACTTTGTACTTAGAGTAGGGAGAGGAATTGCTGATTTCAGTAGTGATTATTAAACTGCTTTTGCATTCCCTGCTCTGAGATTTTTTTTTTCTCTGCCCTGTAAAATGTTTTTATTAGCTGAAAAGAAATCAAATTTTTGAATAGTCTTTTAATGTTTTGTTTCTATTGCAAGTACTTTTTTCAGTACTAGGTGTCTATGTATCTGAATATAAAAGACATATACAACTATTTTAACTGAGATATCAATATGTAAAGGAAGTATTGCATTGAGCAGTTGGGCATGGTCATTCTTCTGTTTTTGTGCTGTGTTAGGGAAGCAAATACACTCCTGCTTTGAAAAAAATAGTTCATTTTTGGAGTCCTAGGTAAACTCTGTCACATATATTCTTCCACCATGAGCAGAGAAGGCCACAGAGTCTGGCCACGTGAAGTCTGTAAAACTAGATTAAGGTCTGATTTTTCAGATTTTAAGTGGTGAAGCTAATAAATCTTTTCAGTATAGGAAAGATCACTTTCTCTTGCCATGATGGGGTGTACTTATGTTCAGCTCAGCTTTCTATCTGAGGCATATGCAGATCTGGAATGAATCCTTCAGAAGTCGGGCCTTAAAATTTTCTCCAAGTGGTGACTGAGTGTGGTTCTTATTCAATATGTCATGGTTTGAATCCATATATATTGTTAGATCTACTTGCTTAAATTGTAGTAAAGCTGCCTGTTTGAGGCCAAGTAAGGACAAGCTATTGCAAAAACGCTTACTGGTAAGTAACTTCTGAAGAAACCAAACCTGATAATGATACCCTTTTCCAAAAATCATGCAGCTCATTCAGAGGGAAAATCAAAAAAGCAAAGGCAGAACGGGGTCCAAGGATTGTGCAGTGTCTTGGACAGTGTTTTCCATTCCTTAGAGCAGTTAGGGAACTCCCTCTAGAGGGGACTGAGGACTGTGGAGCATACAAGTAACTACAGTACCGTCAAAGATCCTTCACCATGTCCTTAACTTACCCAAACTGCATCTGACTTGTTTTTGAAGGTGTTCCATATATGGGTACTTTTTAAGGAGCAGGATGGTGGCCAGAGAAAAAGCACATCTTTATTGATAGGACTGCAATTTGTTTGAAAAATATTAGTAAACAAAAAGTGCAGAGTAGGAACCTGTGCTACTGGCAACAAATCAAAAAGGCTGGTTGTAATCTTGGATGCAGTTCACTATGGCAGAATTGGGCATTTGGAGTCTGTGTGAGTTTTAAATCCATATTGGAGGATGTAAGCAGACTAGACAGACTGCATGCTCCAGACTTCATCTGTAACATTCTCTTAATGTTTTGGACAAGTACTTTGGTACATTTATCATCACCTTCAGAATTTCAGCTCTCTGGCACTATTTACGTTGACAGCATTTTTTGTTTTTAATATATGCACTGAAAGCAATTGAGCAATTTTTGTGCAAAAAACTACTGAAGAGTAGTATTTTGAAATCATGCATTATTTCCTCTAAACTTGTCAAAGAGACAGTTTTCTTCTGAACTTGAGTTATATGCTTACCTTTGATTTTAATTTGTTTTCTTTTCCCTTTTGGGAGCTGTATTTATAATATTCATTCTTTTCAAACTGTAGGGGTATTTTGGATTCTCTTTTTCCCCTATGACTTATTCAGCCCAAAATCTAGGTTGTTATTCTAGTCAGATAGAAAGTACCATGCTTGGAAGTTTTCCCAGAAGCTTTGACTTTCACTTTTAGGGTTACTGAGACTATAATGAGATGAAATGCAGCTGAGCCAGATTAAGGAATTGTTGTTGCAACCTACTCCTCCCTTGCTCTGTCTTTCCTCCTCTTCCCCAGGTATGCAGGTGTGATTTTGTGTGTAGTTGCTTTCTACTCTGGTTCTACTAAAGCAACCCATGTTAGTGTAGCAGCCGTTTAATAATAGCTTATGTTGGATCATTCTGTCAGAATCAGGTTACTCATGACAAGTGAAGTTATTGTGGAACAGCTACAAGAGTGGGAATATGTAGCGGGAAGGAAGAGGTGAGCAGAGGAAGATTCATAACAGGAATGCAGAGGTGAGCCTTAGCTCTGTGCCACAGATCAGACTAGTAGCAGCCTCATGAAGAGAATTCTCCTCTATAATCAATGATATCTGATGGGATGTGACTGGAAAATATGTATTTTGCAGTCCCCTGGGTGACTGAATCATCGACTATAAGGTTCTTGCTGGAACACGCTCTGATCATGAGCAAGGTATTGCCACCTTTGGATCGAACACCCAACTTTCTTCAGCTAGTTTCGATCAGGCCCGACCCCTGTAGCGACATTTTTCGTTCCAGGGTTGTCTGGTGTTCGGATTAATGCAGGCCACAAGCCGAAGGCTGATTTGCCTTTCCTGTGTTAGAATAAATGGTGTTATGATTTGGGTGGAGCACCCACAGGTGAGTTTCCACTGTCTGCATTGCTATATATGTGCCCCTGGCCTCACCAACAGTCTCCTAGGACTAATTTGCCAGCCTTTAGCTAGAACAGCTGTTGGAGATCTGTGCATGCTCAGAGTTACAGGAATATAGCCATTTACTTTTGTGATCCAATCAAATATTTAGAGCATTTTTTGTTTTGTTTGTTTGCTTGCTTGGTTTTTTTTTAATTTAAGTGTTGGTTATTTAACCCATTTTCTTGGGAAAAAGGTGGTTGTGGGGTGGTTTGATTTTTTTGGGTTCTTTATGGCTGTGGGTTTTTTAAAGTATTTTTGAAAGATGATTAGGTAGTGAAAGTGCTTGGTATTTGTGAGCCACATACTAATGTGAATATTTCATTGTGATATCCAGATAATAAGGGCACATATTTCCCACAGGAAATAGCTATGAATGATTAATGATTGTTTCATTGTTCAGCTTTCAGTTATTTTACCTAGGACTTTTTCTACTTACTCCATGGTCCACTTTATTGTGAAACTGGTGCCACCCACAGCTGCTGAACAGATTTACAGCATCTAGTAAAACCCCAAGGTCTTCTAGACAGAACTCAATCTTGTTTCAAGTGGAAACATATTGTGGCTGAAGTGAATCCAGCTTATTTTACGTCTGTTTGATGTAGTTAGTTTTTGAGACCAAAAATGATGTTGTATAGTTGAATCTTCGTATTTTGGCTTCAGTCTTGTTTTCATTAGTGGGTTGGGAGGGGAATAGAAGAGTGTCTCTCCAGGTGTGGCTACATCATGCTATCTCATGGGTCTACTAATGTGATGTTTATACTTCTAAACCCAATTGCCTACAGCACTTCCTGTGCGTTGCTTGTGTTGGCTGCTAAGTGTATTTTCCTAATTTTTCTATGGGTTTTACCCTTTCATCATTTATGACTTGGAAAAAACCAGCAAGGCTGCATACCCGTATTGCCTGATACTACTTGCAAAAAGATGGTAACACATTGGAAAATGTTTTATGTTGCTAACCAAATAAAATCTAAAGGTTTTTCTTGCTCATGTGTTTAACATAGAAGACTGGTTTAGGGAGTCTTGAGTTAAACTTCTAGCTGTTCTTGTGGGACTTGAAAATCAGTTGAATTTGGCCTCAGTTTGTGAAAAGACAAAATGGCCTTAATACTTTGCTGCCTTATTGAAGTTTTGTAAATATGTATTTA